CTGCTATGTGTGATGAATATAATGCCTTGATCAAGAATGAAATATGTGAATTAGTACCCCCCCTCCCCCACCCAAAACATAATCTCTGGTAAATGGCTTTTTAGACACAAATTCCAGGTACAAGGCCCGTTGGGTGGTCCGCGACTTTAACCAGTGTTTTGGCATCGACTAGGATGAGACATTCAGCCTCGTTGTCAAGCCTGCTACAGTATGTATCATTCTTAGCATTGCTCTGTCTTGAGGATGGCCCATTCATCAGCTTGATGTCAAAAATGCCTTCCTCCATGGTTAGCTTCAGGAGACAGTATATGCGAGCCAGCCTTCCAAGTTTCAGGATCCCGTTCGACCTCATCATGTATGCCGACTCAAGAAGGCTCTCTATAGGCTCAAGCAGGCACCGAGGTCGTGGTATCACCAATTTGTAGGTTTCATTCAGCTATTGGTTTTCATGGGTGCAAGTCTGATACATCACTCTTTGTTTTCTCTCATACCATGGGCACTGCCTACTTACTACTGTATGTTGATGATATAGTTCTCACAGCCTATTCCACTGCACTCCTTCAACATATCATTCAGCGTCTGAAAGCCAAATTCGCTATGACAGACATGGGAGACTTACATTTTTCCTCGGCATCAACGTTCACAAGACAACTAGTGGCCTTTTTCTCCACCAAGCACAGTTCACACATGATATACTCTAGTGGGCCGGGATGGTTTCTTGTCGCCCCATATCCACCCTAGTAGACACAAAGGCAAAGCTCCCATCCTCGTCAAGCATGTTGCTTCCTGATCCTACTCTCTACTGATCCACTGTTGGAGCCTTACAGTACCTCAAATTCACTCGCCCTGATAATACATATGTCATCCAGCAGCTTTGTCCACACCTTCATGCACCCCGCGATGCTCATCTCACATCCATGAAGCGTGTCTTGCGCTATCTTAGTGGTACCTCCACCCATGGTATTTACCTGACGCATTCTGTTACGGACTCCTTGTAAGCATACTTCGACGCTCATTAGGCTGGTTGCCCATACACCAAACGCTCCACCTCAAGGTATTGTGTTTTTCTTGGAAACAACTTAGTTTCCTGGTCCTCCAAGCGTAAGGCTACCACTTCCCGCTCCAGTGTAGAGGCTGAGTATCGAGCTGTGGCTAACACCGTTGCGGAGACGAGCTGGTTTCGAAATCTACTACTTGAGCTACAGCAACCTCTTCGACGTGCCACCCTTGTCTTCTTCGACAACGTTAGTGCTGCGTACCTCTCCACAAATCTCATACAGCATCAGCGCACTAAGCACGTGGAGGTTGACATCCACTTTGTTCGTTACAAAGTGGCACTAGGCCATGTGAGAGTTCTTCATGTTCCCTCGTCCTCGCAGTATGCTGACATCTTCACTATCACTAAGGGACAGCCATCTCTACTATTTCTCGACTTCAGACAAAGCTTGAGAATTAAACCTGCTCCGTATCCAACGTAGCCGGGAGCATGTTAAATATATTATTTATATTTAATATAATTGTATTATTCTGTATTATTCCCATACCTTATTTGTATAGATTTTCTATTTATGTCTCTCCTACCTTATTTAGGATTAAGACTCCTTGTATAAATACATGTAAACACAACCCTATTGTTCATTGAAAATCATTCTTCTTCCGGGAATGGTTGACAGTATTTTTGTTTTTATGCATAAAATATTTAACCACTATGAGAAAAAGGCCTTTTATACGCATTTATTTTGCAGCACATGACTAAGTATGGTAAATTAATTAGTTGTTTATAATTTCCCCACATTTAGAAGTGTAGTTACGATACATTGACAAATAACCACTTTTATTAAGTGTTGCTAAAAACTTTTTGTTTGGCCACATAATACATGTGTAGCAAAAGAGTTAAAATAACTAAATACTGAAAAAGAATTAAAAAAATTTCTAAAAATAAAATAAAATAATCAAATAGCCCAAAAATTTACAGAGGCGGTATGTTTTTGGGTTTCGCGCACAACCAATTTTAGGCGGAAAAATAATTTTTTCAGCCTAACATAATTATGATTTCAGTTCTCTACGACAAAATCTGCTCCTTCAATTTGTTCCTCAATAATCAAAATTAGGTTTTGGATTCTTGTCACTGTCGCGCATCTTCCTCATCATCTTCGTTGAAGGTAAGATTTTCGATTCTTTGAGGTATTTATGAAGAATTATGAATTTCCTTAAACACTAAAGTGTGAGTACATGGGTTTATATATACAACTTTTTCCTAATCCTAATCATGGTAGGATTCTACAATAGGAAGCAATATTTGTACAATTAATATAGAATATATATTTAACATAAATATAGAATATATTTAACGTGCTCCCAGCTACGTTGGCGTCGGAGGTGGGCGAATCCCGAGGCTTGTCCGAAAATCTTGAAATAATATGGACAAGAGGCCTTTCGTAAATATGTCGGCGTACTGTGATGAGGATGGCACATGAAGGACTCTAATCTGGCCAAGCGCTACCTTGTCACGAACAAAGTGAATGTCAACTTCAATATGCTTGGTGCGCTGATGCTGGACCGGATTGGTGGAGAGGTAAACAGCACTGACGTTGTCGTAGAAGATGAGTGTGGCACGGCGTAGGGGCTGTTGAACCTCTAGGAGGAGATTTCGGATCCAGCTGGTTTCGGCAACGGCATTTGCAACGGCTCAGTATTCAGCTTCAGCACTCGATCGGGAAATGGTAACCTGGCGTTTGGAGGACCAAGAGATGAGATTGTCCCCAAGGAATACACAGTAGCCCGATGTGGATCGCCTAGTATCAGGGCACCCGGTCCAATCAGCATCAGAATAGGCCTGGAGAGAATCTGTGCCTGAGGGAAAGAGAGTCATACCGTAAGTGGAGGTGCCACAGAGATAGCGTAGGACACGCTTCATGGCCGTGACATGGGCATCTCGTGGGGCGTGTAGATGGAGACAAAGCTGCTGAACAGAGTAGGAGATGTCTGGCCTGGTGAATGTGAGATACTGGAGTGCACCAACTATGGAGCGATAGAGAGCTGGGTCGGTCACCAGCGAGCCTGATGTGCCAGACAGTTTGGCCTTCGTATCGACTGGAGTGGAGATGGGACGACAAGTGGTCATGCCGGCACGCTCTAGGATGTCATGCGTGAACTGTGTCTGATGTAAAAAGAGACCACGAGCCGTCCGATGAACATTGATGCCCAAGAAAAAAATGAAGGTCGCCCATGTCAGTCATAGCAAATTCCCCCTTAAGTCGCTTTGTCAAGCGCTTAAGGAGAGAGTCAGAGGAAGCTGTGAGGACGATGTCATCCACATAAAGGAGTAGGTAGGCAGTGTCTGTCCCATGAGAGTAGATGAAGAGAGAGGTGTCTGACTTACATCCTCGAAAACCCAGCGTGGAGATGAACCCAGCAAATCGTTGGTACCACGAACGGGGAGCCTGTTTCAAGCCATAGAGAGCCTTCTTCAGCCTGCATACATGGTTGGGCCTGTGGGGATCCTGGAATCCTGATGGCTGAGAGGCGTAGACTACTTCCTGCAGATGGCCATGGAGAAAGGCATTTTTGACGTCCAACTGATGGATCGGCCATCTTCGAGAGAGAGCAAGGCTGAGAATGATGCGTATAGTAGCTGGCTTGATCACAGGGCTAAATGTCTCATCGTAGTCGACTCCAAATCTCTGGTTGAAGCCACGAACAACCCATCGGGCTTTGTACCTGGTTAACTCACCTGTAGGGCCAAGTTTGTGCCTAAAAAGCCATTTTCCGGTTATGATATTTTGGTGGGGGGAGGGGGTACTAATTCCCATGTATCATTCTTCATCAATGCATTAAATTCTTCACACATAGCATTGTGCCAATTGGGATCTTTGAGAGCACTACGGTAGGTGAGAGGCAGGGGG